AAGAACTTAAATTATCCCCTCTGAAACTTTGAGAGCACAGGCTTTACTGTTTGCATTCCTCTCTGCATCTCCTGAGCTCCCACTAAAATTGCCCATTAATCACTGCTTACAACATTCTAAGCCCTCTCTAGCCTGCATCTCTCAACTTTTACAAACCACTTCCAAAGGCTTCTGAACCACATGGTCAGGTTAGTCACAGCAATGACCCCACTTCTCAGTATCAATTTCTGTGTTAATTAGCTTTTAATCTCTGTGACCAAAACATCTAACAAGAGCAACTTAGAGGAGGAAAAGTTAATATGGAGCTCTTGGTTTCAGAGGACTCAGTCCATAGACAAGCAGTTCCATTGCTCTGGGTATAAGGTGAGGCAGAACATTGTGGCTGAAGGGCATGGTGAAGTTYTGCTTCATTCCTTGCAGCCAGGAAGCAGAGAAGGGTCCAGGAAGAGTCCAGGAAGACCCTTCCATAGCATACCACCAGTGACCCACCTATTTCAGCCCTGCCCCACCTGCCTAGATTTACCACTCATTCAGTCCATTCAAACCAGTGTGGACTGGTTATGTTACAGCTTTCATAATCTATAATCATTTCAGTTCTTTGCATTCCTGTGTAAATACAGGAGCCTTTGGAGGACCTCATATCTAAACCATAATAAGAATATAAAATTCAAAATCACAAAGCAATTCCACTTTCCATATTATGGGCTCATAAATATCTATAAGACAGACAGCTCAACAGAAAAATATGCAAAGAACCTGTATAGGCAATTCATAGTGAAATAAAAAATAATTAATAGGCATGCTTTCATTAAAAATAGCAATATTTATCTGTTTCTAATCCACATTTCACTTCTGGGGATTTATTCATTTTGTTAAAAAAATGCCATTGGAATTATAAGTACTACATTGAATCTATATATCATTTTGGGGAATGTGGACATTATAACAATATGARTTGTTTCAATTCATAAAAATGAGATATTTGTCCATTTACTTCTTAAATTTTCTTTTGTATGTGTTTCGTAGTTTTCAGAATTTATGTCTTTAATTTCTTTGGATAATTTTATTACTAAGTATTTTATGCAATTTTAAATGGAATTTATTTCTTAATTTCCTTCTCTGGTCATTGTTAAAAGAACAATGTTAATAATCTTAAAATTCATTTGGATCCATGAAAGATTTCAAACAGCCTCAGGGACCTCCGCCTCCTCCAGCTACAACCTACCTGCCTGCAGTTACTCCTCGGTTAACCCCATCAAGGGATCAAGACTCTCATAACCCAATAATATCTCCTGTAAACTTTCTTGCATTGTCTCACTCATGAGATTTTTGGAGTCACCTAATAACTAAACCATAACAAAGAGCAAAGCTGATGTAACATATTTACAAAGCTACAGAATTATGGCAGTGTGGTTTTGTTGTAAAAAACAAACATACAGTCAAATAGGACTGAATACAGAACCTCCAGATAAACCCACATGAATATAATCAACAGACCTTCAGAAAGGTACCAAGAATACACAGTGAGGAAATGGCAATCTACCACAATGGGTCTTAGAGAAATTGGCTATCCAGAGGTAAAAGGATTAGATTCTTATTTTTGCATCAACTACAAAATTCAACTAAAATGAGTTAGAGAAATGTGCAATATGAAACAAGGAAATTCTTAAAAGGGAACAGGAAAAAATCTCTGAATATTAGTCTRAGCAATGATTTCCTGGAATTCATCCCAAATCTCAAGGAAAAAAATAAAAAGTGAACCAGTGGGAATACAACAAACTCAGAAGCTTGGGCCCAGCAGTGTAAGCATCAGCACTCAGAGATAACTCAGAGACTGGGAGAAGATAGTTGCAGAGCATATACTTGATAAGGTATTTTTATCCAAAATATATAGGTAACTCCTATAATTTAATAATAAATGAAATAACCTGATCTTTAAATGGGCAAAATCCTTGAATAGACATTTCTTCAAGAAAAACAAACAAATGTCCAACAGGTGAATGAAAAGGTGCTCAACATCACAAATTATTAGGAAAATGCAAGTTAAAAATGAAATACCACCTCTTACTGTTAGAATGGTTATTATCAATAAAACAAAGAATAACAATTGATGGTGAGCATTTGGAGAAAACAAACCTTGTGCACTCTCCATGGGAAAGTCAATTGGTACAGTTCTATGGGGGGAAAATATGGAGATTTATAAAAACATCAAAAATTGAATTGCCAGACTTGGTGTAGCACACTATATATAATGACTTTGTAAAATTTATATATATATATATATATATATATATATATATGAAAGTTAATGATAGAATATATATATATATAAATGTTAATGATAGAATTCAGGTAAGCATTCTGTTTGCAAGTTTTCAAATTAAAAAAAAAACAACTTTTTTTTTCTTTGAAAATGAGCATATGCCACATTAGTTTCTTAAACTACAAATCACCCAAATTTCAACAAACAGTAGAAAGGATAGAAAGTTTGTGGCATAGAATGGAGTACTGTATAGAAAAAAAAACTATCTACTATACCCCCCAAATAAGGATGAATTTCATGAATTTCTTAAGCAAAACGTGAAACAAAAGGAAACAGTTATAAAAGAATGTTTACTAAATGATGTCATTCATGTAGTCTAAAACCTGGCAAAATTAATCTACACTGTTGGAAGTAAAGATAGTTTTTACACAGGGGCGGGTAGAAGGGTGTAGGTAGTGACTTGGAAGGGGCTTCTGGGATGCAGATATTTTGTTTCTTATTCTGGGTTCTGAATTTGTGATGTAAAAATTCACTGATATAAAAATTCACTGATATAGGTACTTCTCTATTAATGTTATCTTTTATGTTTTTATTAAAAAAAWTTTTTAGTTGTAGGTGGACACAATACCATTATTTTATTTTTTAAATTTTTATGTGGTGCCGGGATCAAACCCAGTGCCTCACGCTTGCTAGGCAAGTGCTCTACCACTGAGCCACAACCCCATCCCTTAATGTTATATTTTAATAAAATATTCTAAAATTGGAACATTAATACCTTCTTCATTATTGTTCTTATTAGTATTAATTTTTACTTTAAATTAAACCTTATTAGAATGTAAACTTCATGGGAGTAATATTTTTAGTCTGCTTTTTCACTGCTGTCTGCCTCAGGACTACAATGTGGACTCGAATATGGTGGACATTCAAAATCTTTTTCACAAATGAGTGGTCATAAAACACAGTGTTTATTTGCCACTTGCCACAGAGTTCAAATTCTCTAAATGTTAGCTGTTAGTATTTTTAATAAACTTTTTTTTATCATTGAGACAACTAAGATCATTTATGTCTTTAAGGAACGCTATATAGACAACAACCTGTTTTAACATCCAGTACCTATGATCTCATGTTCCTAAGTTCATCTCTTCACTTGATCAATATTAGTAAACAACAATGGCTATGTGTACTTTACTCTATGAACTGACAGTTGAGAATCAAAGTTGATTTTTTTTCCTTTTTTGTTTTAAACAGCCTGTGTTAATTATTTGTGCTGCTACTATTGTTGCCCTTATTGGTTAACATGTTCTTATTAGACTCTGGTAGGAAAGGTAATGTCAATTTATATAGTTGTGTTATTTTAACATTATTTGAAAATATTTTAGGTAAAATAAAAGGCTCGTTCCTAACTGAATTAGATGTAGTAAATTATTAACTTTTTCTTCAAGAGAAGCATTGTTTACCTAATGATGAGTTCCCTAGTGTTTTCGAATTGTTAGAATCTTTATGAAGCGTACCACTGAAGATGAAGTTGAAAGATTTGGCTTTTGTTATTATATTAATGATCTTAGGAGAACTCTCTGCAGAAGGTAAAGTTAATCCTTAATTTTCTTTATTCTCTAAAAAACTATAAATGGAAATTCTAGTATTCATACAACTTAAGTTTTGGTATAATCTTTCATTTTGATGTATCAATTTTATCACATGCTTTATGTAAATTTAGCTTGTTATAGCATTTAGAAAGATGGGTTTTTTTCCCCTTTGAGATAAACTAGCAAACTGTTGTTAAAGTAGTTTAAGTTAAAAACACAAAACAAAGACCCTTTGAATATATAGRTTTGGGAGCATGATCTAACATTATCTAAATATACTTTAAAGGGTTTCTGTTTAATAATGTGGCAGTTTAGAAGTCACATGTTAACCTTAATTCCAGTTTTATGCAAGAATCCATTCTTAACATTGACACAACTTACAGAATTTTAATTCTCTGTCTACAAGGTGAGAGCTTACTGAGGGAAATTTGAAAAAGAAATAACMATAAATCATCAACAAGATTTTCTACTCTTGCTACTTTGATTTTTATTCCATGATTTATTTATTCACTGGCTGGATTATTAAGTAGTGGTTAGTATGAAATCCGCATAGCTGAAACTTTTTTTATATTCCACTTTGGAGAGTGAGAGGGCTCTATTAAGAATTATGTCTGGGGCTGGAGCTGTAGCTCAGTGGCAGAGCGCCTGCCTAGCATGTGTGAGCCACTGGGTTTGATCCTCAGCCCTGCATAAAAATAAGTAAGTAAAATAAATGTGTCCATCTATAACTAAAAATGTTTTTAAAAAAAGAATTAYGTCTGGACAACAGTGATAAATGAGACAAATTGTTACTTGTAACAGACTGCCTGGTGYGTAAGATCAGTGTCAGTAAAAGATAGGCAGTGCAATACCATGTTCTTAGGAAGGATTATCAGTGCTTTTTAACTGTAGGATTAATTAAGAACCTAGGCAGGTCAGTTAGCAGTTAGCAAGAGTGAATGAAAAACTGGAAACCACAGCAACAAAACTTTTCTAAAATAAACATCTTAGAGGAATTGTTGAAATAAAATATCCTGTAAGTTGCTTCTTAATTGAATAGTTCACTATAAATTTTCTGCCAGAAGGTCTACAATTAAATTATGAAGGTGAAATAAATAAAATTCATCTTCATTTCATACATTTCTGTCTATAATAGGATAATTTTTGCATGAAGTTTCCTTTGATTTTTATTTTTCTAAGTAGGAAAATTCAAGATGATATCATTATCTATTAGCTACATTGTGATGACTTTGTAAAATTGTAGCTAATTTTCTATTATATGAGCATAAACTCATCTGACACAAAAAAGTAAGCTACATGAAGCAGGGATCATGATCTCATATTCTCCAACTAAGGACCTCAGGGACAAGAGTGAAATAATGGTCCTTCTCACTTCATGGTGTACAATCATTACTGACCTATGAAAGACCTTGCTTTTGTTTATTTATACGCTTTTCACTCAGAGATGATTAGATCATCTCTGACAATGAATTCCATTCTATATGATTTCCATATTTCTTAAATACTCAAATTCCTTTGTTACATATGTCTTATTTGTGCATGTGTTTCACACTCACATTAATGAAAGTTTGATGTAGATTTGATTTTCTCATTTTACTAGATACTGTTCAAATATATTTCCACTTTGCAAAACTATTTTGTTCCCTTTTGAACTGTGTAGCATTTCATATATTTTATTTATCTAGTCTTCAGATGATAGACATGCTACTTCCTTCCTAACCTCAAATAATTCTGACGTTGATACTGTCATATAGTCATCTATAGCTCTGTGAGATTTCTTCAGCCTGTATTCACTCACAGGTGGGATTATTAGGTCAATTATCCTAGGGAAACAGAATGACAAATTACTTTGTGAAATGGCTGTTTCAATGTATGTAATCTTCAAAAGGTGATGGGCATGAGCTGTTGCTTCCCATCACCGGCAGCAGCRCTTCCTGTTCTCTACTTTTGTGCTCTTTGCCATACTGTTGTTCATAAAGTACCATCACATTTATGTTCATTTGATAGTCTCTGATTTTTGGTAAGTTTGTACATCTCTTCATATACTTTTTTGGATGTTCAGATTTCTGGGATTTCCTAAATTGTTTCTGATTAGCATTTCTCTTTGCTTTATGGCTCTTTGGAGCTGATTTGTAAGAAGTCTTTATAAACTACAAGTTGTAACTTCTTATCAGTTTTAGACATTGCAAGTTCCTTCTTCTAAAGTAGTATGTATGTGTTTTGTGGAAAATGACTTTCAAAGAAATTCTCAAATTTTTAAATAATCAAACCCATTACATTTTACCCTTTAGTTTCTTTTTTCTTTTTTTTTTTTTCTGTACCTTTGAACTATCATACAGTGTGATTGGTACCTCCTGAACTGTGCAATATGGGGCCTTGATGTTATGAGTTAGAAATGATAAAATCTTATATTTTGTTGTACAAATTAATTCTTTGGCTTAAACCATTTTCTGCTATTTTCCATACTTAACAGGTTGTTTATATTTTCATACTCAGTGTATCTCATTGTTGCTTCTTTTTTTAAAAAGAATTCATGTTTTGAAATTTGTACTTTTTTATTCTAATTTGTTATGTATGACAGCAGAATGCTTTACAATTCATATTACACATAAAGATCATAATTTTTCATATCCTGGTTGTACACAAAGTAGAATCACACCATTCGTGTCTACATACATGTACTTAGGGTAATGATGTCCTATACCCTAATTATATCCTATAATAGGATAATTTTTGCATGAAGGTCTTTCCTACCCCCATGCCCCTTCCCTTCCCCTCCCTCCCCTTTGCTCTATCTATAATTTGTCTAATCCACCCATGCTCTCCCCCCCCCCACCAACCCCATTATGAATCAGCATCCTTATATCAAAGAAAACATTCAGCATT